CACGATGGATCAATAAAATGGGTCTTACAGTACTACAATTGTAATTAGGAAAAACTTTTCTGTTTTTACTTTCCCCTTTAATTTTGAGGATTTTTACACCTTTTTTGTAAAAGTTAGGCTTTCTGTGTCCTGTTGCTTTTCTTCTGTGTATATAGTTTTCCCTTCTGTAAGACAGTTCATTGAAAGACCTAGCATGGATACCGTCCATGTTTAGTTTTTTTTTTTTTTCTAATATTCTGCAGACATCCGTTTGAGAAGCATTCTTTAGTAAAGTAAAAATGATTAGGAACCCTCTTTGACTAAACTTAAGTATACTGTTGGCAGTGTTAAGAAAGAACCGTGTTTAAATGCAGTATAATTGGTATTCTACTGCAGCAGAGACACCATTCAATAAAGCTCAATAAACTTAAATGTTAGGGCTTTTACATTGTGCCTATATATTGGGACATAGGGCACAAATTATAAACTTACAAGGATTTTTAACGTAGTAAAGATACAAATTATGAGAGCGCCCCAGTGATGGGGGGTTGATATGGGGTTTGTGCTATATGAAGGGCAAACCCTTTTTACACAAAGACCAGTTATGCCAAATTTTAAATGGTGAATAGCGTTAACAATGATTCTATGAAATCAATTGCAGTAGGGTTCGTATGTTAATGTAAGAGGATAGCACTGGTAGGGAAGAACCTGGTGATGGAGGCCAAGATGTAGTGGTGAAAAGCATACCCTAGTAGATCTTCAAATGACCATTTTGTACAAAACCACTTGTATGAGAATTCTTAAAATTCTCATTACATCTACATCCGATTTGAATGACATTCGAAAGCTTGTTTGTTCAAGGAAAAATTTTCCATCCAGCTCTTGAAATTTCTCTTCACTGAGATTCAAATTTTGAACAAACATTCTTGAACGGAGAAGTTTTGAACAAAACTGTAGTAGTGAATGGGTCAGCTTAAGAAAACCTGATAATTCTACAGAATTGGTGCAGCATGTGAGAAATCTACAGATGAGTGGAGGCAAAAGTAAGATCTTGATTAATTGTAGCACATTTACACTAGGTATTGTCTTGGACTCGGTCACTTACAGACCATTTACCGTGATCTACCAGTGAGCCAAATTAATATGAGAATACGTGCACGTGGAAGTAAGACACTGACACTTCGCAGTTTGCCAACTTCCTAAAATTCTGTTTTATTGAGGAACTAACAGTATCATTTTATAGGGCATAGAAAACTACTGACCAATGCAGGGACCGGCAAAAATTATTTTTATGAAAACAGCCCTAGTGAAGCATTAAAGCGGAGTTCCAGTTGATTTAAAAAAAAAAAAAAAAAAAGTCAGCAGCTACAAAAAACTAGCTACTGACTTTTAAATTACAGACACTTACCTGTCCGTCGGTCCAGCAGTGTCCTTACCACGGCTATTTTCATCGGCCGTCTTCTTCCCCAGCGCCGGCATCTTCAGTGTGGTCACCTGGCTGTGACAGTTTGCGGATTCACAGCTAGGTGCCTACTGTGCATGTACGAGTAGCACTGCGCTTTGTGAATGGTCCTGTAGTCTTCTGGGACCTGTCACGTGTCCCAAAAGACTACAGGGAGGGAGGGGGGAGGACAACTTCCGCTTCCGATCACAGTGGGAGTGGGTACCTGTTAAATTCGTGTACCCGCTCCCCAAAGGTGCCAATCTTTAACGGAGAGCAGGGGACAAGGGCTTAAAGCGGAACTTCCCCTTTTGGGTGGAGCTCTGCTTTAAGTTTATAAGCTGCAGTGAAGGCAAATTGAAGATGTGGTGAGTGAATAAAGTTTAATAAAATAGGGAATTTTGATAACCTTTGTAAAGGCAAGCTTGTGAAGCCCTTTTAACACTGCCAACGGTACATATAAGGTAAAGTTTTAGTGGGTTTATTCTAAATACATAATTTGGATCTGTGTAAATGTATCCTTTTTCTTTTTTTTTTTTTTTTTTTTTTCTTTACGGAAATTCAATGACTGTCTTTTTTAGAGTTTATTTTAAAATGCTTATGCATGATCTCTACTTTGTGTTGCATTCTGCTGTTTTCCTGCTTACCTCTACCTGTGTACTGTCCTATTATTTCACTGCTCGAAAGTATGGTTTCTTGTATTTCTGCAAAATATGTACAGATGAAGATGAAGGCTTGTATGTGACTTCTGTAACAGCTGACCATATACATGTCATGCTGTGTACTATCTTGCAGATGCATTTTTTTTAATAACTTATAAACCGATGCACATACTGCACTCTGAGCTGCTTTGTGACCTCCTAAACGGACTTACATGTACATAACTGTAATAAATAGACTTTTAGCTGACCATTGTAAGCTGTACATGTGCAGTTATATTACCTTGCACAAGGACATGTTCCAAAACACTTATTAAACAGTGTAGATATAGATTAAGAGTAAAGTGAAAATACTGGCCCTCCTTGAGCTGTAGATAAGTACTTTGAAATGACTGACATTTTATATTAAGTTATGACATAGCCAAAAGCGCTCCTGTTTTTTTTTTTCTGTCTTACTCAGATGTTTTATCCATGTGAATAGCGGTTCAAATATTGTTTCCCTTGTAGCGTCTGTTATACTGTATTCATGCCACAACGTTTTTTAATGGAAATTACATTACTCAAAAATCCTGAACAAAACTTTGTTCTTTTCAGGCGCTGCTGTGAATTTAACTCTTGTAACTCCAGAGAAGGCTATTAAACTGGCTGCTAATGACTTCTTCAGATACCACTTGGCAAAAAATGGGTACGTCTGTGCATTGGAAATCTGTTTATGAAACCTTTAGTATGGTAGACTTGCATGCTGTTTGGATTAGTGGCCCTATTACTATAGGGTGAACTCCTAATATTAATTTTCTGCTTAAAATAAAAGTCTGGGACCTTCAGGAGTCCTGAAGTGCATTGCTGGCAGCAGAATTAGGCCCCACAGACTCATGTTCTAATAATTAACAATAATAATAAAATTTTCAATTTGGCTGGAAAAAAAGTCCAGAAAAAAAAAAAAAATCGGGGTAGCTGGGTTTTAGTAATGGCAGCATGAAAACAACCATAGTCTTTAAAACATTTTGTTTAATACCATAGGCTGAATTCACATGAATGCTTATTTGTACAAAGGGACGTCTGTTAACAGTTTGAGTTTTGCTAATTTACAGTCACATGGCAAAAATTATCCTTGTGTTTTTAAATTGATTGTAAATTATTTTTTTAAAAAAATAACATGTCATACTTGCCTACTATGTGCAATGGTTTTGCACAGAACAGTCTTGGATCCCCCACTGGCATGCCTTGCTCCTCCCACCTTCTGATTGCCCCCATAACAAGCTGCCTGCAATGTGGGCACTTGTGCGGACTTGATCCCAAAGCTAGGCTCTGTGTCCATTGACACTCAGTGTGGCTCTACCCCACCTCCTGCTCCCTACACCCTGGCTGTGAGTGACTGCAGTAAGAGCCAGTGGCTCCTGCTGCTGCCTCCATGTCATGAGAGAGGAGAGAGCCACTGAACAGCACTGGGTTGAGATCAGGCTCAAGTAAGTGTTTTAGGTGGGGACTGGGTGAAGAGCTGAATACAGAAGGCTTTTTTGCTTTAATGCATAGAATGCATTAAGGTAAAAAAAACCTTCTGCCTTTATAACCACTTTAAAGATTAATTGAGCCTCATATCTTTAACTGGAGCTGGAAATGTCTCTATTGAACTGTTACAGTGGTTGAATCATTAAACTGGAACTAAAGGGAGCTATGCTCACCTCTCCCCAAAAAGTCCCTATACCTACCTGGCATCTTCTGTTTTCAGCCATCTTCATTGGCCAGCGTGGGATGACGTCACTCCTGCGCAGAAGCTAGTCTTCCCAGCACATAGGGATTAGGTCAGCGCTGTAAGTTGAGCTGCATAGCTCAATTTACAGGACTGGAAATGCTACGAGCAGGCAGATAGTTGCATCTAATTGCATCTAAAAGTTTCATCTGCAGTAAAAAACCTGCCTGCTCACAGTGAATAAGCGCAAATTACCAAAGTAGAGAATGTTCAGAATAAGTGAATTTTGTTGATTAAGATATTTTTCTCCCAGACTTAATTGGTTGACATACAGTAGGCCTGTCCATACATTCAAAGCTCCTGTGTCAACAAGTGACTACTGGAAAGCAGCATGATTGTGCTAGCCTATTATTCATAGTATGCACAGTCTGCTATAAGGCAGAATACTTTCACACCTGGAGAATTGTTGCCTGCAGGGGAGTTATTTATTATTCCTTAAATGTGCCTAGATCATTACTGAATCAAAGAAGATAGTACATACCTAAAGCATGCATCATTAAACAGATGAAAATATTGAAAATTGAGCATATAATGTACATATTAAAGGTGAACTTACAATTTATAATGCATTTCCCCAGCTGTACAGCAAAGCAGACATATTGCAACATACTAATTTCTTCGTAAAATCATGTTTGATATAATGTAGCTTTAAAGACTAACAAACCTGTCTGTGACCTACATCCTAAGGTATTTGATGGCCACCTATCAGTTGAACTTGTCAAGTTATTCGTCACCCTGGGAAATCGGACTCTGTGTCCATCTGTTAAGAGCTTTTAGATTAAACTTCCCAGGGTAAAAATAGTATCTCCAGATAAACTTTTCCTTGTGTGATACTTTCTTACGACTTTATTGGTATGATAGAAAGTATGCTTATGAATATGATTAAACATGTACTGTATGTGTATTTTAATAGCAAAAAAAACTGACGTTGTTCAAAGAAATGCTGGCAGGATGTGGTGCTGGGACATGCCAGGTTATTATCACTACCCCTATGGAAATGCTGAAGATTCAGCTCCAAGATGCTGGGAGACTAGGTAAGAGGTTGTTTTTTGTTTTTTTTTAACCAGTTTGGAAAAACTACCGTATTTTTGCTCCATAAGACACACCTAGGTTTTAGAGGAGGAAAACAAGAAAAAAAAAAAAAAAAATCTGAACCAATGGACTGCAGACATAGTACAGGAGATGACCAGAGACTGCGGACATAGTACAGGAGATGACCAGAGACTGCGGACATAGTACAGGAGATGACCAGAGACTGCAGATATAGTACAGGGGATGACCAGAGACTGCGGACACAGTAGCGGGGATGACCAGAGACTGCTGACACCGAAGAGGGGGGATGACCAGAGACTGCGGACACGGTAGCGGGGATGACCAGAGACTGCGGACACGGTAGCGGGGATGACCAGAGACTGCGGACACCAAAGAGGGGATGACCAGAGACTGCGGACACGGTAGCGGGGATGACCAGAGACTGCGGACACCGAAGCGGGAATGACCAGAGACTGCGGACACGGTAGCGGGGATGACCAGAGACTGCGGACACGGTAGCGGGGATGACCAGAGACTGCGGACACCGAAGAGGGGATGACCAGAGACTGCGGACACGGTAGCGGGGATGACCAGAGACTGCGGACACCGAAGCGGGGATGACCAGAGACTGCGGACACGGTAGCGGGGATGATCAGAGACTGCGGACCCGGTAGCGGGGATGATCAGAGACTGCGGACACGGTAGCGAGGATGACCAGAGACTGCGGACACGGTAGCCGGGATGACCAGAGACTGCAGACTCCGTAGCGGGGATGACCAGAGACTGCGGACTCCGTAGCGGGGATGACCAGAGACTGCGGACTCCGTAGCGGGGATGACCAGAGACTGCGGACTCCGTAGCGGGGATGACCAGAGACTGCGGACTCCGTAGCGGGGATGACCAGAGACTGCGGACTCCGTAGCGGGGATGATCAGAGACTGCAGGCACAGTACAGGGGATGACCAGAGACTGCAGACACAGTACAGGGGATGACCAGAGACTGCGGACACAGTACAGGGGATGACTAGAGACTGGGGAGGGGGAGCGGGTACCCAAATATGACAGGTACCCACTTCCACTTCCGCAGAGTTGTCCTCCCTCCTTGTCTTCCGGGACACATGACAGGTCCCAGAAGACCGCCGGACCATTCACAAAGCTCAGCACTTCTTGCGCATGTGCAGTGGGCACCCGGCTGTGAAGCCACAAGCTCACAGCTGGGTGCGCATACTAAAGATGCTGGTGCTGGGAAGAGAAGACGGTGAGGACAGCGATGGACCGGGAAACAGGTAGGACCGAGGGGCACAGAAGAGCTGAGTGGCCGGCCCGGGTATTCTAACGCGGCAGCGGCAGGAATTCCGGTCCAGCCACTCCATATTCGCTCCATAAGAAGCACAGACATTTTCCCCCATTTTTTGGGGGGAAAAAAGTGCGTCTTATGGAGAGAAAAATATGGTACCTTATATTATCTAATTTGCATTGTGTTTTTATTATGCTTGATCATGGTGTGGTACTTGTTTTATTCCCGAATATCTTTTTGTATTATGATCTGTAATCCTATGCATCTTGCTGTACATGTTGGTCTTCAGATTACAGGACTAATGTGTTCTGGCTTGTTTTCCAGCATCTTGTCAGAAGTCTGCTACAGGGATACAGAGCGTTATTCATGGCACAAAACATTTAAATGCCATTCCTGTACTATCAAGAGCATACAATGTTGGACCTACTTTAGTAGCTCAAAAGATGTCTGCTTCACAAATTGCTGCTGAACTTTTCCGTAATGAAGGCGTTAAAGGTCTTTACAAGGGACTAGGTGCAACTTTATTGAGGTATGTTTAACAGCTGGAAGTAATGGCCTTACCATCCAACTAACAATCCAAGATTGTTGAAACAGTTGTGGGTTTGTTTTCCTTAAACTATGTGATTCTGTAATACAGACACCATAGCCAGGTATTGCCTATTTATTGTTCAGTTAAAACAGTGCAGCTTAGTCAAGGCTGTAACTTGATGAGATGGAAGCCGCAGCAGGCCATCTGTGCTCTCCTCCAGTCAGCAAGCTCCATTTGTTAGGTTTACAAATGCAATAAACCTTAGTGACCGCTTCTTCCTCTCCCACTTCCGGGATGTACTGAGGATTACAGATTTTTAAAAGCTAGATTGAGGTGATACTAAAAAGTAAGTAGTTACAGTATTTAAGTAGATTAAACTGGATTCTTGTAAAAATCAGTATTTTATTTTTTTTTTTTTTATAGAAAATTACTTGGAACCTCCAAACAGCAGAGGCCCTAGTGAATAGAATACTGGGTGTTTTAAATTCTTATGCCACATGGTGTTTGTGCAGTGGTTTTCGAAACACAATTTTTTTTTTTTGCGGGGGGGGGGGGGGGAGTGGATACACTCTAATTTTATTTCACACAAATGCTATATAATACTTAAGAAAGAAAAAGCGACATTTTGGTTTGTTTTAGAACTATATATATATATATATATATATATATTTATAGAATTTTTTTTATCCCTCCAGATCTCCCTAATTTCAGGAGATTTAAAGTAATGTGGCTGAGGTAATGTCACTGCTGTGCTACTCACTGTTCTCCTTGCTTGGAGATCTGACATGAGGATGCAAAGCCCTGCGTCTGCCAAAATGGCTGCCCCCACACAGAGAAACAGTGCAGAACAGCATGGTAAGATCTGTAATGGGATCAGATCCACTGCATTGAGACCGCAGGCAAGTCTAGTAACTAGTCCTTTGCTCTCTGCCTATTTAGAGTACAGCTTCCAAAATGTTGTTTCTTTTTTGTATCTGCCTATTCTTAAACCTAAATGTCATCCTTCTTTGGCTAGTGCTTAACATAAGGAGAAAAAGGTTTCATTCCAAACACCCAATGTCCTTTATATTACCTTTACATTTCAGCTGGGCTTAGCATTGTGTGACAGAGCGTGCACTACGCATGTGCAGGCTTTAAAGGATCAGTTCACTTTCGTAACTGTTACACCAATATTCATGGTATAGCATGTTACGAATGGACCAACCCCCACTTCCGTTGTGACAGATAGAGGGGGATCTTCTCCTCCCCACTAGCTGTCACAGTTAAAAAAAAAAAAAAAAAAAAAAAAAAAATGCAGCTGTGCGGTGCCCTGCCTGGCTGCATCATTCATTCACTGTGGGTACAGTAAATGAATAATAAACTAGAAGTCCCGGCAGCCTTTGCAGCTGTCAGCAGTTTTCAGTGAACTACCACGGCACTGTGGAGCATTGTGGTAGTTCATTGATTCTTCCTCGCAGTATATCTGCTTGCCCATGAATCCCATACGGGCAAGCAGATACACGGACAGGTCTGCAGGAGACCTGCATGGCAATCTGCTGATTGCTGGTTCAGTGGTTTACGGGCTCCTGCAACCAAAAATAGGAAGATGTACATTTTTTGCAGGTGAAAAAAAAAAGTGCTCTTGTTTTTTGTAAAAAGGAACTTATCCTTTAGACAAGACAGAGCGCTTGTTATTGAGCTGATGGGGCAATGAGTCAGGGTCGCCCCTTCAAAGTTTTTCAGACAGCTGGGGAGAGGCTGCAGATGGCGTACAGGTATGCCTTGAAAATAAAGCAACCGTTTAAAAGCTAAGGGCTTCTTTTAAAATATTAGAGAATCTGGAATCCATTGATAATGGTTTTTGGAAAGGTGATTTATAGGTTAACAAACTGTTTTTAAGACCATAACCATGCACTTTATTTTCCTTACAAGTGAAATCAGACATGGTTCATATAATTCATGAAAATGAATATTAATGTAAAAATAGGCACTGCAGCACACTGGTGTGAACCCAGCTACAGAGTAAATAGATACCAAACATATCAACCCTTAAACTGCACATGTCAAAGACTAACTTTGGTACCCTAAATTTTCCATTGGCAATGCTTTAAAAGCCCCTCCAGGTCAGCAACCAGGAGTATGTAAAACCTGATGTTGCCAAAGTGTGATATACTTCAGTTGTAGCAAAAGGGTTAAAGACCCAGCAAGTACAGATAAATACCTTTTGATGTACCAGAAATGCTGTTGTGCAAAAAATCATCTTGCAGGTTAACGTGCTGCATTTTTGAGGACTGAATGGTGTCAGCATTGTCCAATTATCTTTTACTAAGTTACTGAAACCCTCCCACTGTCATCTCCACAAAATAAAGACTAGTTGCTCTGTAGTTCAAAATAATAATTGACAAGCTAATTGCTCCTTGAGAACGCAGGGAGTGTGCACATGACTGCCTTTAATTTCTGACATGGTGTTTTTTTTGAATTATTGGACATAACAAAACTCTTTCAATTACCCATTTTAAAAGACCAAACAAAGAAAAAAGAGCTAATTTCTACATACATTTAGTTGGTAGACACTCCCTGGTAATGGTGGCTGTAACACAGAGCTCATGTTACTATGTCGTCACTGCTCCTTAAAATGGTGAATTTGGTACGGACTCGTTGGTTTTTGGTAATCATTTGCCTTCCATTTTGGTTTGCTTTTCCTCATTACTGGATGAATATATTCCTTAAAGGCCTCAAAATATATACCACTTTGTGTGCACTAAATGCTTTTGCAGTTGCAGATATTACTTTGTGAAAGTAGTTTTTTACCTCACCACTGTACTGCAAATAGCATGTCCAGAGACTTGGCAGGTCCTTCACTACAGGATGGCGGATAGAAGACTGATCATCCTGCCCAAGGAAAGAGAGCATCAGTGACTATCTTCTGATACAATGCCAGCTACTCTGTAACATCCATTGGAACATATCATTATTGTCTACATAGGATACAGCAGTAACAGAAGGATATGTTTCAGCTGAAGCCTTATGCAGGCCATAGACGGTTCGCTTATTGGCCAAATTTTCAGCCGAAAAATGAAACATCGGTCGTTCTGTTGCCACCAATGATGACGAAAATCGAACGTTTTTCGTAAATTTTACATCATGACCAATAAAAGAAATGAGGAGGAACTGCGAAAATCGGCCGATGATATTGCCCCACTAATTAATCGACCAATTATTCTTTTGGAAGAAAATTCGGCCAAAAACGAACCGTCTATGAGCTGCATTACTCATGTGTAGTGCTGCTTTCACACTGATCAGTTGCGTTTTTTTAAAAACAAAACAAAAAAAGTGGCGGAAAAACATGTGACCGTGTATTCCTATGGAACTCTCTACACTGGTCCAGTGTGTTTGTTCAAAGTCCTGCTTGCTGCACTTTTGGTGCGGTAAAAAAAAAAACAACTGCGCACCTCCCTTTTGAAATAATGGAAAACATGGCAAAAATGCACCTGTGTTGCGTTTTTTTTTTTTTTTTATGTGATTTTTGAGCCATTTCTGCTTCGACTGAAACACATTAGCATGTTACTGCTATGTAGCCAATAAAGAATTGTTCCAATGGATGTTAATAAGTAGCCGGCTTCATTGTATCAGATTATTGCTACATTTCATTGGCATTTGGGCCAGAGCACCAGTTCCCAGGTAATCTGTAGTAGAGCATGCCTTCTTTGTGGACTGTCAGCAGCAGAAACTCCTGCACAGTGGAAAAGACACACTGGATTACTGCATAGATTTGGAAAAAGGACAAAAAGTACCCCAAGATTTAAGTGGGGGGTATACATGTCTACCTGGTACATGGATAGTATCTGCTTATCTCGGATTTCAGCTTTAAACTTTGCTAGTGAGTGGTCAGCATTACCATAATCAAAATATCCAGAACTGCCAACGTAAAATTGTCAATGTCATTTATCATCAGAACATAAGTAATTAACCTGGCAAACTTGCACTAATCAAATTGCATATACCAACTTTTCCATTTTGATCATTTAGAAATAACCAAAATAATTTATTTTGAAGGGACTTGTATAATAGAAAAATGGTTAAGGACTTAAAATCAACATGACAGCCATGCAACTGACATGCTTAAAAGAAGCAATGGCAGCCTACATATTTTCTCAGTACAGGTTTCCTTTAAACATTGCCAGGATCTTTGTCACTTATGTTGGAAATAAGTTTTTACAAAAATTGTAAATTAATCTTTTACACTAATGTATGTTTATTTTTTTCCCCTCAATTACAGGGATGTTCCTTTCTCCATGATCTACTTTCCATTGTTTTCCAATTTAAATAAACTGGGACAGTCTTCTCCAGATGGCAAAGTGCCTTTCCATCATTCATTCTTTGCGGGCTGCATTGCTGGCTGTACTGCAGCTGTGTCTGTCAATCCTTGTGATGGTAAGCCACCTTTTTGGACTTTGACAAGCTGTACACTTTCTATTTTTAAT